TATATATATATATATATATATATATATATATATATATATATATATATATATATATATATGCCCTTGATCGCTACTTTTTAATGTCTTCCAAGTGAAAGAAACATTTCCCCAAAGAAACATTTCCCCAACATTCGGACAAAAGCTCCATTTCATAATGAAATTTAGAGTCAGGTTTAGCATTTTTATTATTTTCACAAATTTTTCAAAAGCCCTTTCGGAAATCATCGTCTCAACATTTCGCTATTTTAGTGAACTTCAAAGTAGTTTCTAGCATGCGTCAAAAAAATTTTAAACGAATTTTCTCCAACAAATTTCCCAAACCATAGACGTATTCCGAACAAACCGCTATTAACCATAGACCTAAAGTGTTGCTGGGATCATCATCTTTTTGTTTGAATAAAACACCAGCGCTGATTGCCGAACTTACTTTCATCACTGAAAACCAGGATATTTGTAGAACTATCGTCCAGCAACTTATTAATGAAATAGTGGTAACGAATTTTTTATCGCCGGAACTTTGGCTGCCATTGCTAGAGCCATCATTTTCAAAGATCTTGCTGAAGTTACATTCCAATGAGATACCACTTCGTCTGCACGTTACTATGAATCAGTTCAGTGTCTTTTGTACTAAGAATAATTTCTGAGTGCCCGATATTATCCAATTCTGCAAATAATCCAAACTCTTAAGCTCTCACACGAATACATTTCATCTCAGCTTCAAAATCTTTATTTTAAATTGCAGTAACAGCGCTTGTATCGTACATCGATTTTTGAATTTTTTGACCTCTTGAAGTTTGAAGAAATTTTTTTCCTCAACACTATACCTCATAGCAGCTATCTTAACGTACTTTTGAGGTGCAATTTGAACAACTTTGCAACTCTTAAGCTCATTTTTTAATTAATTCCCCCAACTTTGGAACATTTTTGTATGTGTGATCAAGTTTGCTAAGTATTATACGTGAGAACAGATGAGATTTATCACACTAAAGATAGGGTTTAAAAAATCTGGACAAATTCAGCAGCAATTAGGAAAAAGATAAGACATCAACAGAGTGAATCGACATAACCTGAACTAACCATTTTACCACAATCATAAGATCATCAACTAAATATTCGCTTGTAAACGGTTCTTGGTCCA